TATTTTTCACGCTAATTCCGAATATGATAATCTTATTGCATGAAAACGTAGTTTTGATGAAGAAAATTGAGAAATACCGGCAGAATTCCAGCCTTTTTGCCCAGATTTTGGTAAAAACGATTTTTCTCGACGAAGGAAAGAAAAGAGAAAAAAGGCTCTGTAATTTGATGACAAGTGGTATGATGTATGGAATGAGATAAAATAATTGGCTCCATCGTTTACGTAGAAAAACTAGATAGATTTACAAAATCGACCTATCATAGTCGACACAATTCGAAGCACCATCACCAATAGAGTTTTGGGTCTAGAGTTGATTTGAAAACTGGTCTGTACTCAGTTTTTGATGCTGAATCTGAAAAAGTCGTTTTCAGAAGCTGAAAGAAAGAACGAAGCAGAAATTTTTGCACATTTTGAAAAAGATGGGGTTTTTGAAGAAAACGACATCCTTCGAGTATTTCGTATTTTTCGATCGGAAAGAAGCATTTACTGAGGCTAAAACGTAGATTTTCTTGATCAGCAGCTCAAGCTCTATTAGATGATGTAAAAAAAAGGCAAAAAAAGAATTTTACTTGAATTTTGCTTTGCCGGCACCTTAAGAGTATTTGAAAAACACATGTTATTGAATAAAACGTTTGAAATGTCCTCTACCATCGAGCAGTCATCCTATTCCGCAATGTTAAACATTGCGGAATTAATTTTATCCAATTCCGGAAACTCGATCATCATTCAGCATTAGAGACGTACTCGACATCAATCGAGTTCCGCCAATTCCCGGAATACCAAGAACTGATTGCAGACAGAATTACTCCCAGCACCCAGAAATGCCTTCCAATTCCGGAATTATACGAAATTGGAAGGAGTTCTTGGAATTCCGGAATCAGAAGCAATTCCCACGAATTCCTAAGAATTCCGAGCAATTACATCTCGACTCAATTCCCGGAATTTCGTACCGGAATGACTAACTTATCCCATGTACTAATCTTCAAACACACCACCTTGTGTGAGGGTGAGAGCGAGAAGCAATTCCGGTACGGAATTCCGGAATCAGATGGAATTCTGTTATAACGCAATTCCAGGAATTCCGTTTCAACACAATTCCCGGAATTAGGGAAATTGACGGAACTCGATCAATATCGATTAGGCCTGTTCTGTACAATCATGATCGAGTTCTCGGAATTGATTTCGGGGACGGAACTGATTCCGCAATGTTCAACATCGCGGAGTAGGATGCATTCTCCTACCATCATTACGAAAAATAGTTCATCTAATAGAATCGTGATGGAAACATGAATTTTTCTTTTTTGGTGTATGACTTTCCGGATACTCTGTACTTTTTTGATCTCAGATGTGTGCCGAAGTCACAAAAATTGGGGGTATCTTTGAATTACGAGATCGATAAGGAAATTTTTGCTAAAACTGATCAAACTTTCGGACGATGGAGCAATTTTTTGAAAATCCATGAGCAAAGAAACGAAAAAAATTCTGGAGTTTTGCTGGGAAAGAATCAAAACGTCTAAAGATTCGGGTACCCTCGCCGCTCAGGATACTTCTGTGTACTCTTATGAAATAAAAAACATATAAATTATTAAATGAGGCTAAAAGATGCGTAAGGAAATATCTGTTTTTACATAAAACCCTAGGCGAGGCGAGACGATGACGAATTGAAGGCTGACAATGTGAAGCAAGGCAAGGTGACAGCGACTGAATCACCAGATGGCGAGACGATGGCAAGGTGCTTTTTCAACCGACTCGTCCATCTCTAATCGCTATATTCTTCTTCATATTTATCAATTTATAATCTGATTGTTTGGGAGAATATTTCATTTATATTGCATAGTAGTTTATTCATTGTTTTGAGAAACTCTTCTCAGCATGATTAGTTCCCGTTTCGTCGAAAAATAAGATTGGAATTAAAAAAAAGAGAGTTAATGTTGTCCTATTGATTACATTTTTTAACATAGCAATGAAAGGTGATATATAATTAGCCTAGATAAATTTATTGAAACATTTATTTGAGAACAATATTAGACATGCTATACATAAAGAAAATATCAGAGAAAAAAAATTAGTCAGGAAAAAAAAGCAAAATTTTTTGATACCAATAAGTCGCATGACTTTTTTAAGATAGTCTTCTAGTGTGAATGTTTGATTTTTAAAGCGATTTTCTAAATCAAGTAATCGTGCATCTCGATTGACAAATAGTTTTTTTCGTGGTGGTAATGTCCCAGTTGCTCTATGTCGTGATGATATTGCTAAATTGTAATCATACTCATTTTGAATTGCTCGAAGAAAAATATAAAAATGTGGGTGTGTAATACGATTGAAATCATTATTTAAATGGTGATGCCAACCTTCCACATGGTTGTTTGTTCTGCAGCTTTTTAAACCAAAATAATTCCATAATGACAAATGAAATAATGCATCGTCATCAATCCATGTATCAGTTACATAATCGTAAAATTCATCAATGCGTTCTATATCTTGAAATTCATTCATAATCATCATCCATAACTTCGCAACTGCCTGTGATAGCATGAATGCAAGCGCACATGTTTTCTTTATAAAGGTTTCTTACATTGATTTCATCAGGATCACTTGATTTAGTATCGATAAATGCAGATTAAACACCTAAATCTTGTAATTTTGTGTATATACATTTATTAAAGTGAAAATTACATCCCTTGATCGTAGCATTTGGAAAAAACAATCTGATTGCATTTATGACCGGTTGTTCAAAATCAATTGTTACATACTTTGGATTAAGACAAACATTATTCATATGACATCAATTTAAAATACCATGCAATAACGAATATACGTTGAACCTTTTGGTCTGGTAAGAATGTATACAATTTTGATATTGATAAATCTTTATAAATCGAATGAACTGTATGTAGTTGATACAAGCTGAAGGTTGCTGTGGAGATTCTGTTGTACCGAATATAGGATGTTTTTCATCTAAAAGAACAAATGGATCACTGTTTAAAGTTTTTCGCCATATTCCTTCTATTTTAACATTATTAATTGTTTGTGGTGCAGCTGGATAACTATAATTTCGTGTTTATATAATGAATTTTTAATTTCGTGAAACCTTGGTGTAAATGGTGTAACTTGTGGTGAAGTTGTCTCTAAAGATATTAATCCTTCTCTATAAATTCTTTTTACTGCTCGTGAAGAATGTTCAATACGTCTTTTTAAACTTGCTTTAAATTCTTCAACTTGGCATCTGTATTCATCACCATTATGATTATGTATGTTTTTCACGAGTGGTAGGTTTGATCCATATTGTTTAAAACGTCCAGGACATGAACAGTGTTCACATTTCCAATAAATAGTAGTCTTTACAGCTTTATCTTGTATGTAACGAAAAGTATCAAATAGTAATGTTGGTTTTTTTCGTTTACTTTTCACAATAAACGACATGATATATGGTGAAAGACGGAGAAGAGAAATCCTTGTATATTGAAGTTAAACAGATATAGCATAAGCAATAAGTTATCATTTTAACTGTGTATTTATACATCAATCAAAAAACATTACTAATAGATGTATTCTTTCAATCAATTTGTTTCGCAAGATTAGTTTATTTAATACAATCAACACAATTAAGATGCTTGTTTCATCTCAATTCTTATTGCAATTAATCTTTTTTCGACGACACAGAAATTCACCTCTCATTATAGTCAAATTAATCTTATACGAAAATATGTTAATATGTCGTATCATTCCAGCATCGCACTACTAATACTTAGTCACATATATGAACTATTTCTCAAGCTAATGCGAACGGTTCATAATGTATATCATAATTCAAGATGATGATCAATTTCTTTCAGAAAATAATATTTTGTATTGTCATATAATGATTTATTAGTGCTTGATTTTCTTCTTAAATAATTTATATAACAACAGCATGGTCAGACAGAAGAACCAACTGAAATGATTCAAAGACAATCAACTTCAACAGTTTATTGTCTTTTATTTTTATTTGTGTTTTGTATATTCGTTTTCATGTCTGATATTTTTTAAATTTTATTTAGCTATTAGAAGTTTTTCTTTGTGCTTCTCTTTTGTGGAACTCACATACATTTTCGAAGAAAATGGCAAGCATAAGTTTAAGAGTGAGATTTTGCAGCTCCACGCGCCGCACGCACCCCCCCCCCCAGCCGCCCGCCCCAGCAGCGACCCCCGCCGCTACCCACCCGCCAGGCGCGCGACGGCTGGCGGCTCCGACCCCCCCCCCCCCCCCCCCCCCCCCCCCCCCCATCTTCTTCATTGCAGACACTTAACAACGGTCGCCCCATTATAGACTTTAGCAATCAAGAATAATAGGCGTCAAATTTTCTTGAATTTTTTTGCAAAATCGATCAAGTGAGAACTTTGAAAAATAATGAATATCGTTGTTCGATAGTTGATTAATATATAACAGTGCATAAGATCTGTTGAACATTTCATAGATATGTAAAATGAACATATCTGTCAATTAATTTAATGATTATAATAAAAAGAATGTTAAATTAAGAAAAAACGAATTTAAAAAAAAATGAGAAATAATGAACGAATAGCAACAATACAAACAAAAAAGAGCGCCCGTAGAAAAAAATCAAAATTTTTGTTAGAAATACAGAAAT